CTACCGAATTATCTAAAATTCTCTTAACAGTTTCCAGTTCCCTCCATGTGGAACTCTTGTCTACATTCATTCATTCCAAATCCCATACCATTCAAATTCCTTCTGTTCAACCTTTGAACTTAGAGTCAAATGACCTCCATATCCAGAATCTGAAGCATCACAATATACTTCAATATTCTGACATCTTTGTCAATGACCTTACTCAACCGAGCGCCCATTTCATTCATGCTTTCTAAATTTTGTAACCAAAACTGAAGCTCCCTACAGCTTCCTTACTCAACATAATATAAGAATTCCAACTGGATCTTATTACAAGAGGCCCAAGAACCTTAACGATCACCTGAGTATAATACAACAATTTAGAGGATCCATAGAGTATAAAATGAACTGAAAGGTGAAGCTTTGTTGCCCAAAAGCAAGAAAAATAGGGTGATCAGGATCAACAAAATAATTAGTCTAGTGTTCATTAACAGTACATAAATCAGGTTCTAATCTGTTCCCCATTTATCACTCTCACCAGACAGAATTATAATCAGTGCTTCTGTACTCTTTTAATTCCTTGTTGAAATCTCTTACATTGGTCTCTCTTGGTCTTTGATGAACATTTAATAAGACAAGTTACTTTTGTCTCATTTTTATTTATCTGTTACTTACAAGTCTACCTGATCATTAAAACTATGAAAGTACTTTTTGTATTATACAATAAAAATTCTTGCATAATTCTCTTATTCTATTAACCTTTCAAGTACATTATTTACAGTGATTAATTATCACAAGTAAATGGCAAAGGGGAATAACTCCTCTCAGTAGAATACAAATTAATAGAGCCCTGGCCTGGACCAGAACACTTGACCAAATGGTTCTGATGTTCAAAAATCTGGTAAAAATACCCTTCCTTATTAAAACTTTTACTCTTTTTGCCTCTGATATGCCCAGGTGCAGAGAAGATTTTTAAAGCATTAATGCATTTTCACTATGTAATAAATAGAGCCCCGCCCTAATATCAGAACCTCTGATCGAGGGGTCATGAAATTCACAATTTTGGAAGAGGCATCCTTGCTTATCGTAACCATGTATTTGTTTAAATAATACCCAGGAGAAGAGAAGATTTTCAAAGAAATAATGCACTTTCACTATATGATCAATATAGCCCCGCCCTAGCACCAGAACCCCTGACCCTGGGGCTATGAATTTCACAATTTCGGTAGAGTCACCCTTGCTTATCATAACTATGTATTTAAGAGCCCTCTATACACTGCACACTAGAGAGTTCTGATTTTGTTGTATGTTTATGCACATAGAGTGATCTGCTCTTTGATCAAGAATAAAATAAATTGAAATTGACAGTTTATTACTTAATTTGTGATCAAATCAAGCATTCATAACACTTTAAAAGGCCAAGATGAATAGATAGAACACTTCATTTGCAGGTATTTTTCCCACTTAAGTAAACAACAGTGATTTATGTTCATCAGTACTTCATCATCTTTGAACATTTTTCCCGGAGGTAAATGCAAGGCACCCTTTATTGAAAATGTGATAGATAAGCTCAATATTTACACCTTTACACATTATAATTTTCTCAATGTCAAAAACATATTTTCCTCTAGTGTATAGAGGGTCCTTAATTTGTTTAAATAATACCCAGGAGTAGAGAAGAAGATTTTCAAAGAAATAATGCACTTTCATTATATGATCTATATAGCCCCACCATAGCACCAGAACCCCTGACCCTGGGGTCATGAATTTCACAATTTTGGTAGAGTCACTCTTGTTTATCATAACTATGTATTTAATTTGTTTAAATAATACCCAGGAGTAGAAAAGAAGATTTTCAAAGAAATAATGCACTTTCACTATATGATCTATATAGCCCCGCCCTAGCACCAGAACCCCTGACCCTGGGGTCATGAATTTCACAATTTTGGTAGAGTCACTCTTGCTTATCATAACTATGTATTCAATTTGTTTAAATAATACCTAGGAGTAGAGAAGAAGATTTTCAAAGAAAAAATACACTTTCACTATATGATCTATATAGTCCTGCTCTAGCATCAGAACCCCTGACCCTGGGGTCATGAATTTCACAATTTTGGTAGAGTCACCCTTGCTTATCATAACTATGTATTCAATTTGTTTCAATAATACCCAGGAGTAGAGAAGAAGATTTTCAAAGAAATAATGCACTTTCACTATATGATCTATATAGCCCCGCCCTAGCACCAGAACCCCTGACCCTGGGGCCATGAATTTCACAATTTTGGTAGAGGGCTCAATGCTTATTACAATCATGCCAACAGTTTGACTGCTTGATGTCCAGGAGTAAAGAAGAAGATGTTTAAAGATTGCATTAATTTTGATGGTTTTGGCCCCACCCCTCAGGCCCCAGGGGGGCAGGGGCTACGAATTTCACAATTTTTGTTCCCCTTCACCCATAGATGCTATATGCCAAAATTGGTTGAAATTGGTTTGCTGGTTCCACAGAAGAAGCTGAAAATGTTCAAAAGTTTACGACCGACGAACGACGCCGGACGAAAAGAGATAGCAATAGGTCACCTGAGTGACTCAGGTGACCAAAAAATGCAATAATACATATACCTGGTTCTGAGCCTAACCGCATCACCAAACACCGCTTGTGTTGAAATGATCTGACTGATTACTGATGCAACGAATCGAACTTCAAACCATTTGTATCCAGCTTTGATGCCTTGCAAAATATTTTGAATACTTGCTTAAGTTTGTTTATCCTAGAATTCGAGACTGATATTCTTTCAAGATTTGTGTTCCAAACGAACTGGTTCCCAATGACATTTCTCATCAGCCACTAAAAAACCTAATGCATTTAAATCAGCTTGAATTTTTTCACTAACAATTCTAGCGTGATCTGAAGTTTCAGCGCCACCTATGCCGTCATCTAAATACATACCGATTTTGTAACTCTTCGATCTCCAAAATTCAACTACTTCTCGCAAAACCTTCGTAAAAATATATCCAGCAGTACTGATGCCAAATGGCAGAACGTTAAACACATAGAATTTGTTTTTCCCTTTAAAACCCAAATACTCTCTGTCTAACTCATTTAGCATACTTGATTCTGACCATCCGGCGCGCCCGGGTAAACCGGCGATGACCGGCGACACACTTGATTCTGAGCCGGTATTGCGCACGCATCAAGCCGGGTGAGCCGCTTGAGCCGGAAAAATTTGATAGGGGCAAACGGCTCCAACATGGCTTCTAAGGAGGGAAAAGCACCGTAAGTGATTTTTTTAATCCAATTTTATAAACTATGCAGAACAGTTATAAGTACAATACAACGACATTTGATAAACAAGTATTAAAATCACCTAGGTAGCACATTATCATAATTATTGCCCAGTGACTCGGGTGAAATGAGCGATTTTCAATGCTATTAACGTTAGGCAAAATTTTTGCCAAGTAGCAGTTATTTGTATATATCTCCCTGATACTGCAGAAAGGTTATTTTTGTCAACTCTTTTCCTCTGAATGATTCTGCTCCGTTTGATTTTCAACTTATTAAACTCAAACACATATTAGAATCGAAAATGGTCATTTATTAGCCAAATGACGATCAACGTTTTCATATACACAACATATGTACAATATGGAAAAATAATAACAAAACATATGCTAAATAGTTATAGTTAAAATTGTGTCCCTGAAAATCAAAGGTGAGGGATCAACTTCTGCCAAACATTGACTAGAAAACACCTCAGAATATGTAGCAAAACAAGTCATTAAAATTAGACATGCTGAAAATTTGGCAAAGAAAATTGGCACGACTAATCAAAACATACCACATTAAAAGTCATTAAAATCAGATATACTTGAGCAAATGGCATGCAAAATGGCTAAACTAATAAAAACATTCCACAATAAAAATCATAGAAATCAAAATAGTTAAAAATGACAAACAAAAATGACTAGACTACTCAAAGTATTAAAACATGAGCATGAATCTCCCAATAAACAATGTTGATTAGGGAGGGAGGTGGGATTTAAAGATCAAACATCTTTCTCAATTTCATTTAGGATGCACTGTTTTGATTAAAGCTGCCACCTAGCGGTGAAATGCGTAGTAAAACAAATGCTGCCACCTAGTGGTGTTTCAAGGGCAATAACAATAATTCAGGATTGCCAAAAATGCATTTATTTACATAAATGTAAATTTTTGTCAACTCTTTTCCTCTGAATGACTCTGCTCCGTTTGATTTTCAACTTATTATACTCAAACACATATTAGAATCGAAAATGGTCATTTATTAGCCAAATGACGATCAACGTTTTCATATACACAACATATGTACAATATGGAAAAATAATAACAAAACATATGATAAATAGTTATAGTTAAAATTGTGTCCCTGAAAATCAAAGGTGAGGGATCAACTTCTGCCAAAGTATTACTTAACAAGTAATACCCCCCACCCAGAAATCATTCAGAGGAAGTCATGATATCAAAATACATGCAAGATCTAAAATGTTTTAACACAATGTTAAATCTGTTGAAACAGAGGCCCCTGTCCTCATGTTTCTTTGTATTTGCCAGCTGAGGTAGGCGTTCCAATAAGACCAGAGGTTTATGAACCTACTTTGAACTACTAAAAAATTTTGCATTCAATTGAAACTGAGGCCCCTGTCCCCAAGTTCCAATGTAATTGATAAAGAAGCAGCGGTAGGTTAGAATTACAAACAAGACAAAAAATTATTTGACATACATCATGTACATAAAACTGCTACAATAAAACTTCGTTCAATCGAAACAGAGGCCCCTGTCCCCATGTTTCTAAGATGATGACAGCTGATGAGGATTGTAAGAAAAAACAAGGGCCCATAACCCCATGATTTTCTGTTATTTTTTGTTTAACAGAGAAATTCAAATTAGATGTTCAACAATGGAATGCGAATATACTTTTTGTACGCATTTGATTTCCATCGTTCTAACAACTGGATTTGTTCATCTGAGATTCCCTTTGATTTGGCTAACGTAGCTGCACCAATCGGAATGAATGTCCTTTATAAAGTTTTGTGTCATAATTTAAATAATTAAGTGATATTTTTAATTGCTGATTAAAGTAATGACTTGAAACTGGTGACTTATCCTGAAACATGAAAAGTGGTCCATCACTACCTCCTCTTAATTCTTTGTATTCCCACATTGCCAAAACTGCACATAATTCTGGTTTGTCTTTGTTGGCATTTAAATGAAATGTCACAGGTGGTTTTCCTCTATGATGCTTAAAATCAACCATGGTCAAAGTCATACATTCTGGTACACCATTCTGTTGTTTCTCAAATGACACTGCTGATAAATTTAAAGTGTTTTTTGTCGGGGAAGTGATTTCTCCCACCCTTAAGAATGCATGGAATGCTAATAAAAACATCGCCTTAAAAAGAGTTCTCTGATAAAATGACTGAGTACACTTAGGTAACGAGTTTATTATTCTCTGTAATATTATTGGCGTAATGGGAAGACGAGTATCTGGTCTAGCTTTGAGTTTCGAAAATCCTTGAATTGTTCGTTTCAGAATGAAATTTTGAGTTGGATCAGGATAACCCTCCATTTTGTGAAAATGTGCCAAAGCTGACATGTATGTGGTAACAGTCTGAGGCGAAAGTTCTTTCTGATAGCAATAAGAAATAAATAAAACCAACTGTTCGTTTGTCATTGGAAACATTGGGGCTCCTGGAAAGTACTTGGATAAGAATTCGTTGCAAGTCAGCTTGGCTCTGTCGTAAGAATTCCGCGTTGAAACTGTCAAAGCATTTTCTGCCAAGTATATTGAGAGGGACTTCAGAGCCTGAACATCTCTTCTGGTACAGGTGTCGACTGGTGATCCATATATGGTGCTAGTCTGTGAAACTCCAAAATCTGCAAACGAGACAATTTGTCACTCGGGTAAAAATATATTAATTTTAGGCTATCACATTTTCCGCCGAAATATAGCTGAAATAATGCCGACTCGTCACTTGGCGTTAAACAATATACAATCAATCAATCAAGCTGTCACATTTTTTTTATCTTTTGACAATAAAGGAACCAAACGAATGATTTAGGTACAACTTAATTAATAGTCAAATACAACGTAGGGTACGTACCCCTCGTGGCCTTACACATGGTTAGACGGTTTTCAAACGTGAAGGTATCTTGGTTTAAGCTTTAATTTTTTCCTCCAACTAATCATGCATTATGAATACACATACACGGCTTTACAATATCATTTTAGAATGCAGGCTCAGTCAAAGATTCACAGGACTTTATACTTTGGAGTTGAAGAGAGGGATCATGAAAGTACTGAGGAGGTGTATGTAAAAATCAATGATGAAAATGATTTTTGTACAGTCCTCAGGGTTTTCACAACTCCTGAACTAGCTTCGAAAATTAGAGCTCAGGGTATGTATCGTACAACTGTTTCGTCTGTATATATGTAAAAAAAAAAAAAAAAAAAAAAATTAAGATAGCTTTCAGGCCATCATTAAAAATATTTTTGTTTGATGTACTCCGACCCACATTTTTCAAGGTAGTTGGGTAAGTAGGTTGGTACATGTACTTAATTTTTTTTCTTTTTTTGCTTTACAGTATTGGACAAAGTGATAACTGTCATAAAAATCACAGACTCAGAAATACATTGATGTTTGCATTACACACTGGATAGCTATACAGATTTCATATTTATTGCTATAAAAATTTCAAATCAAAAAGCATCCTAGAGAAATTATGGTATACTATAGAAACTAGAAAAAAAAAAAAGAAATAAAAAATTCAAGGTGCTGAAAAAAATGATTGGGTAGGGGCAATTTGATGGGTCGGTCGGAGTACATCAAACAAATCATCTTTCGTTGTTGGCCTCATGTTTTCTTTTAGTTTGATCTCCTTTATAGAGTTGATGAAGGAGGTCATTGCAAAATATTAAAATATTGTTCAAGTACAAGAAGAAATTAAAATGTGCAATGTACTTAACATGATTTACCATTTGAGTTTTAACATTCACCATTCACTCTATAGAGGTCCAGTACAATCAGTACATTTAGCTATGTAGCTAATATTACCTACGAAGCTTTGTTTTGCTACTTCAAGTAGCTTTATTCAGCTATTCCAATGCAACTTTTCACAACTTTGCATTTCAAATTACAGATATTACATGTCAAGTATGATTAGTAATGTAAAGGTCATGACCACTGTTTTACAATCAATCATCTAATTACAAAAAAAAATTGTAGATGAGGCAACTATTAATGAAATTTTGGGATGTCAATCAAAAGAAGCTGAAACAAGCACAAGGGGGGAAGACACGCCAACTACATCAAGGTCAACCTCACCAACAACATTCAACTCGCCAACATCAGTCACAAAGAGCTGGACTAAATGTGCAGAACAAAATCTGCTTAATCTATACAAAGAAGTTGAAAATTCAAAGAAGCCTGTTAAGTCGAAATGGATGTTAATTTCCAAGGAGCTGCAAAGTATTGATCAGTATTATGAATACAGTGCAGAACAATGCAGACTGAAAATAAAAAGCTTGAAAGAAAGGCATGGCAAACTGAAAAGAAAATTAAATAAATCTGGAACAGAAAATCCTAATGATCCTCTAGAAGATGAAATGGAGGATGCATTTGGAACCCAACAAGATATACATCCCTCATACACACTTGAATCTGCAGCCAAGCTGAGTAGCACAGGTGACGCACTGAAATTTTCATAACAAAATTAATAATTTTAACATTAATTGGAAACTTCATACTTGAATATGAATTTAATTTATTTATGGTACATGTACGTTGTGTATCCAATATGTCTGTAAGCAATGCAAGTACTAAATTAAAATGCCATCTTTTTTTAATGATTCTGTTATATAGATGAGAGCACGAGCACAAACTCAAGTTGTCCACCCCAATCAACTCCATCCAAACCTAAATTTACCAAAACGGACAAAGGTAAATGTACTGTGTATATGATAATCACACCAAATGTGTCAAGATTGATTATTTCTATTTCTTACTCATTATTGTTCTGAACTGAAAATTTTTTAAAAAAAGTTTTATTGTAAAATAGATGAGGGCAATGATGCCAGTAGCAGATCAACTCTATCTAAAAACAAACAGTCCAAGAGAAAAAAGGGTAATACACTGTGTACATCATATCTGCACCATATATGTCAAGATACATGTAAACCTTATTTTTTCTTACTGATGTAATATGCATGTACATTTAGAAGTTTGTATTGCTAAAATATTTCTTAAACTTTTGATAATTCTTACTCTTTAAAAGAAAATAAAAATATTTTTAACATAAATTAAAATGCACACTTTTATCACATGTGAGAAAAGCTTTAAAAACATGACCCTGTATTAATTTTACAGCGGAAAAGGAAAGGATCTATTTTTGATGGAATTTGAAAAAGCCAATGCTGATGCAGAGAGACGACACCAGGAGCGTTTGGAATTACAGAGGAGTTTTATTGGTGTTTTGAAGGATGCATTCCAAAATTTAAAAAAATAACTGATGAGCAAAAATGTTATATGCACAGAACTTGATACCTAAAATCTATTAGTTTCCATTTCAATCACAAAATTATTTGAAGTAATTTTTATGCCACTGTAATCGAAGATTCAGGGGCATATAGTTTTTGCCCTGTCTGTTTGTTTGTCCGCAAAAATTTTAACCTTGCCTATCATTTTTTATTGGTTGGATCTATTGCTTTCATATTTCACATGTGTATCACTTGTGACATCCCTTGGGTACCATTTGACCTTAACCCTGATGTTGCACTTTTGAAAAACTTTAACCTTTGCCATAATTTTTCAACGTTTGGTGTTAGGGCTTTCATATTTCACAGGTATATTCCTCAAGACAATACCTTTTAGGGGTAACAACATTTTTCAAACTTTTGACCTGGAGTTTGACTTGCATTTGAGAAACTTTAACTTTCGCCATAAGCTGCTATACGGGGCATCAGTGTTTCACAAACACATCTTGTTCATCTAATTATGTTTTCTTCAGATGCAGATAGCATCATATGTGTCTAGTCAATTTTTGTATTTTACTTTATACTTTGTTATTTATTTTTAATAATGTTAAAAATAAAACAGAATTTATTAAATTACAATTTTTTTTTTATTGCAATAGAATTCACAATTGTTGTGTTAACAATCTCCTCTTCTGCTGTGCTGGAATATTGTTCTGAGGAAGATTAAGAGCCTGTATCTGATTCTGAATTTGGTCATTATCTGCTTCTAAAAAGTCCTGAAATTCTTCTCCATTCATTATGCAAATGTTATGAAGAATACAAGTAGCCATGATGAGATCACAAATGTCTTGCACAATTATCATGCTTATGTGTTTCAGTCGTCGGAATCTTCCTTTAAGAAATCCAAAGGCTCGTCCTATTACTTGTCTTTTTGAAGAAAAAATTTCGTTGTACCTCATTTCCTCTGGAGTAAGGTGTCCGGTATCTCGATACGGGGTTAATAACCAACGTTGTAAAGGATAAGCACCATCCCCGAGTATGTGAAAGTTTCCGAACTGACACTTTTCATCACCAGTTTCCCATAAGTTTGAATGTCGTAATACTTTTGCGTCATGAACTCTACCAGGCCAGCCCGTATATATGCTCGTAAACATCAAATCGTGTTTACAAACAGCCTGCAAAATGATGGAATGGAACTTTTTCCTGTTGTAGTTAGCATTTGGGTTTTCAGTAGGAGGATCAATTCGTATATGTGTGCCATCAACTGCACCAATTGTGTTTGGAAATCCACGTCCAGCAAGAAAGTTGAATTCTCTTGCAACCTCATTGTACTGATTCACACTAGGCCATGATATGAATTTGCTTTGTAAAGTTCTGTTTATAGCACTTATCACCAAAGATCTGTATTTTAGCAATGTAAATTCAGTAACATCAAATCTATCACATATTTCAAATTGTGTTTCCTGAGATGCCAAATAGCGTAAAACCATCAAGAGGGCTTTCTCGCAAGTTACCTCTTGGCGTCCACCTTTATACTGCCTTGCTTGCAATTCATCACAGGCTGCAACATGTTCAAGTAACAGTTGGAAAGAATTCCTGCTCATTCTGAAAAAGCGTCGGAATGTGTCAGGAAGGTAACCAGGAATCGTAATCTCATAGAAGTTTTTGCCTCGATGGTGATCCATTCTGTGAAAAAATATGCATTAAATGAACGTTTTATCAATTGAAACAGGAGAGAACAAATACATAAATGAATTTGCCTTTTTTATCAGATAGGGGAGAGAAACAATATCATGCTCTTTTCATTAAGTAGAAAATGAGAATAGGTGTGGGAAATACACCCCCCTTATTTCTCTGACACTGAATCCTAGTCCCTCTGACTTAAATCCTCTTCGGAATGAAATGATCATTCCGAAGAGAAAAGGAGCTCCCCCCCTTTCGTCGCATGCATTAATTTGAGAAGTTGTTCGATTTTTAAGGGTCACGGATGAGGCGATGTAACATTTCCTATAGATTATTTTATAGTCTAATAGCAGAGACATAAGTCTCTGCTAATAGTTAACAGTGGTTAACACATCTACTACCTAATACATCTACACCTATGAATGCATCGAATATTTCCGGTACAAACCGCCTAAACTTCAGTAATCCTAACTGTTCCAGTTTTATTTCATCGTCCTCGTCGTCGGTTGTAAGCAGCATCCATGCAATACTGGCAGCAAACCCTGCAACTTGCAAATCTTCTGCCATTGTTGTATTTAAGCCGGGTCACTTGATTCTCGACACTTTGCCGGGTTTACCCGGCTACGTTCGGCTCGCCCGGATTTTATTACAATCAAGTATGCTAATTTACATGTATCATAATATAATGATAAGCGCTTTTCAAATCAAATGAAAAAATGTAATCAATCTCTTGAAACAGTTCACGTGATGTACTTGCGTCTTCGTACTTGTGTTTGTATTTAAATAAATGTAAATTGACATGCCTAGCATCTAAAACCAACCTTTGTTTGTTTTTTTTTTTTTTTTGTTTATTACCTGCTACAGTCAATGGATTCACTACTTTTGGTTTGTTAATAACCTCTTGAGCACAGCCCATTTTCACCAGCTTTTCTATTTCAGTTGATACAAAATTGGCATTTTCAAATGC